TTCCTTCCTCCGGTGCAACTAGCAATGACCTAATAGCCTATATATATCTTTATATATATAATTCTTCTGTGAGTGTGTATGTCACTAAACTTCTCTCAAACGACTGGACCGATTTTGATAAAAAAAATTGTGTGTGTTCAAGGGGATCTGTGAATGGTTTAGATTCACAATTTTGTCCACTGGACAATTTTTTTTTTTTTTTTTTTTTTTTTTTTCAAAACACGGAGATTTATGGCATTAATAGGTAAACTAAATATAAATAAAAATAAATAATATAAATAAAAAACGTAACAAATATTTCTTGATTATAGAGCGATACGAAGTTCGCCGGGTCTTCTAGTATATACATATATATATATATATATATATATATATATATATATATATATATATGAAACAAAATATATCATAAGTAGTACTCAAGATAAGTTTTTTTTTTTTTTTTTTTTTTTTTTTTTTTTTTTTTTTTTTTTTAAGAAATGTCTTATTTTTTTACCTTAATTTACCTTCTCGAATACTATGACCACCCTGCGTCGACGAAGGCTGGGTAGAAGGCAGCGGGCCTACGCTCGCCAAATGCCTCCCCAGTGAGAGGAGCCTCCGGGCGTTGGTGGGGAACCGGCGTCCGGGCAACATAGGCTGGAGTGAGAGTGGCGTGCTTGGCGTTCCCGGCACGCTGCTCTGGAGTCGGAGGGGAAGTGTGGTGAAGCCACTGTGACCCCTGCCGAAGACGGAGTCCATGGGACTCGTGCGTAGTGAGCGGAAGTATGGCTTGCCGTTCCCGCTCACTAGCCTACGCACAGCGCAGAGAACGCCGAGGAGTTTAGTGGGTGGAAATCCCACACGCCCCCGCCGTGTTTTCCCCCGCGGCGGGAAGTCTTTCAAAGATTCTCCTCGTTAAAAAAAAAAAAAAAAAAAAAAATACTATGACCAGAAATGAATGAATTTCCTCGGTTTTTTGGTTTTTTGACAGTTACCGAGCCGACAGGGAAGTTTCTACTTGAATATTTCAACTATTAACAATAATAGGTATATAAAGTTGATAATTATTCACAATTAGTTGACATTTTCTTATTATTTCATGTAGGTAGCCAATTATTTCGTTGTCCTTGATCAAATATTAATTAACGTGTCAAGATTACGAAGCCTTAGAAATCTCGTTAACAATTCTCCAGACACGCATGACAATTCACATATCTAACAGTGTTGTGATATTTAACCGGTAAAGTTTCATACCGGTAAAAATAACCGGTAAAATTTAAATAAGTATCGTTAATATATTTTTATATGAATAACGTTTTCAGATAAAAAAAATCAGGCTGACTACTTAAACTTAAAATAAATTAGTGCAATGTATTTATTCTATACCTAGGTTGGTTTAGTAATACATAAATCTTAAAAGTCCAGGTAAAATGCCTCAGAATAATCTTAAAACTACCGATAAGTCATGACATCACTTAAGATTTATGGTTAAATTAATATAGTTTAAGAATTATTTTACAGGTAAGTTATTAATTAGGATGTCTAAAAAAATAAAACAAAAAATTGACAACGTACGAATATAATTCAGTTTAAAAATGACAATCAAAATAAAATTTTTGAGTAATATTTTCAACAATCCTTCGTTTAATTTTTCTACCTTTTTCCGTTTTTCGAAATTTTCATACAGTTTACACCTGAAAGTAAGCACAGGAATTGTCATTGTTGAAACGGTTTAAAAAAATATAACTAAAACAGATTGCAATATCTATATTTTTTATATAAACAAACCAAAGTTGTGTTATTTACACTATTTATAACCCAAAAATAGCTGATGAGATACGGTTGAAAATTGGTGAGGACATAGCTTAGAATAGACGGACATAGGATATTTAATTCTGTTCGATCGAAAAAAGAAAAAAATAATAAATTCCAATAGTCATTTACCGCCATTAGGGCAGAATAGAGTTCGCCCGGTCAGCTATATGCCAAAATTTATGCGGACAAAGTCACAGCAAAAAACTAGTATTTTCCACATCTGTCAAATGTATAGAAAAAAATGTCATGCCATGATATTTGTTATAATGCCAACTTGGTTGACATTAGATGGAAATATCAAGAACGTTGAGTTTACTTGGCTTTTATTTGCCTAAGATGTATTTTAAAATGTCAGTCTTATTGGGTATATTAAATAATTTTATCTAGTATCAAAATTAATTAACGTCTAGACTATTATAATATAATAATAATAATAATGAAATATTCAGCCTTAACTGATATGAAGTATAGATAAGATTATACATTTTTAATAAATTTAATGTTAATGAAAATTAAAATGTAGTTTGTTTTGTTAAAATACAAGAATTACTGTGAACAATTATTTGTATGTTTAGTTATAAAATTAGATGACGTCTTAAAAAATTGTGATTCAAAAATCTTGACGCGTTCAAATAACATTTATGTATTTAAATGAAACTAATATTTTTCGGATATAGTTACTACGCGACTTTATATAAAAAACTACATACTCCCCACATTTCGGTTACTTTTCTGCAACCGTGATCATAAAGATGAGAGGTGAATCTCTACTAAGATTATAAATGCGAAAGTAACTGTCTGTCTGTCTGTTAAATTTTCACACCTAAACCACTGAACTGATTTTAATGAAATTTGGTACAGAGATAGAGTTGACCTTGAGAAAGAACATAGGATAGTTTTTATCCCAGACTTTTGAAAGGTTCTCTTGGAAACGCGATATAACCGAACCCCAGGAGGGCGAAGCAAGCGGAAAGCTAGTGTCATATAATTTCAAAATCATCATAACTTCCATATTATTATAATTAAATGTTTCATTTAAACTCATCTATTTATAAATCATTACACAAACAAGTTCTACTATTGTTTTAATGAACTTAATACTATTGTTTCCATAAAGTACAATTCATTAAGTCATTACTATACACTATAGAGATAAAATACACAAATATAAATTACTAGCTTTCCGCCCGCAGCTTCGCCCGCGCGGAGTTCGGTTATATCGCGTTTCCAAGAGAACCTTTCAAAAAAAGGTATAAAAACTATCCTATGTTCTTTCTCAAGATTAACTCTATCTCTGTACCAAATTTCATTAAAATCATTTCAATGGTTTAGGCGTGAAAGCGTAACAGACAGACAAACAGAGTTACTTTCGCATTTATAATATTAGTAGGGATAAACATAACTGTACAAAATCAAACAATTCATTAACATAATACAAATAAATAATCATTAATTTGTTGCAAAAAAATAGCTTATCTGGTACATCCGTGAATGACCGCGTTAATGATATTTGTTCTCCCAAGGGCTTGGTTAATAAATAATTTATTTAGTCTCTTTCTGGACCTCAATGAGGTCTCGTCTCATTATGGGGTACAAAAGTAAGAGCGAAGTTGATTGTGGACTGTTGTTTAGAATATTGAAACGTCGAGAACGGTGAGTCAAGAATCTTGAAAAAATACGTGAATTGTGTTTTAATAATAATAATAATGCGTCTATAATTTTCCAGATGTTTCTAGTATATACTATAACCAAGTTTTCGGAAGTGATTTTTAATGAATTGTGTGCCGAAATCAAGATAATTTCAATAACATATATAAAATATCGTACATTTATTGTTATTTTCATCATCTTTGTTATTTTTGTATCGTCTTTATATTTGGTCACTGTCAATACTATTTCGTGATGTCAAGCGGATGCTGTACTTCTGAGAAACATCTCAGAATTTAGATAACACGTTCCTTTCATGTTATAAATAAACATACTACCAAACTGTCTGTTGCGTCCAAATGTTTAAAAGATATATATTTTACTAGCTTTCCGCCCGCAGCTTCGCCCGCGTGGAGTTCGGTTATATCGCGTTTCCAAGAGAACCTTTCAAAAGTCTGGGATAAAAATTATCCTATGTTCTTTTTCAAGGTCAACTCTATATCTGTACTAAATTTTATTAAAATCAGTTCAGTGGTTTAGGCGTGAAAGCGTAACAGATAGACAGAGTTACTTTCGCATTTATAATATTAGTAGGGATTCATTTCTTTACTTGGAAGACGTTATTTTTTCTCTTATCTTATTCTCAAATCAGCTGTCACTTGTTTATAATGCGTTGTCATTTTTAGTGAAAACATTTTTTTTTTCCTCAAAAACAAACGACGCTACTTAGTCTTGTGTAAATAGGTCCAGTTGTTTCTAAAGGATTGTCCGAACATGACATAAAGTGTTTTTTGTATGAATTTAATAATAAGATATATCAAAAATGATTTTTATTACGATCTTTTCTATAATTAGAAAGTAGGGATATAACATTTCAGTGCTTTTGCGTCAAGGATACATTAGTACATATATATACAAATCGTTGCCGGATTTTTATTAATAAATCTATCTTATGCAAATTTATTGCAAGCTGTAGTCGCAAGTTCAAATCAATCTTTTGTTAATGAATTTCTTCTTCTTTACCATTTTTATATAACTTTTCTTTCAACACAATATTTAAATTTTAATTATCCTAAATTTTATCTATCTTCTAGAACATTATTACTATTCAGCAACTTTATTAACAATACAAGATTTTCCATCACATATTCAAACTATTACCAATATTATAAAAATAACGTATAATGTATTTTTAATGTGATAAATAAATTGCAGTACATATAAAGGTCATAGATAATAAGTTTAATATGATTCCTGTCAACCAAGGGGCGGCCATGTCGGAAGTACTCACCTACCTACATAGTACATACATTACGTGTAGAAATACGTCACTATGAACACACCTTAATATTTATTACCCTTTTGCACTAATATTTAATTATTTGATATTTGTATAAAAACCTAATTATATTATATTGCCTTATCGCTTACGCATAATTCAAGGCAATCTTGTGGTAAAACCCATTTAATATATTTGTTTGTTTTGAAAAAAGTTTTTCAATTAACAGTATGTACGGTATGCAATAATTAATTTATGACAGAATGAGATCTTAGACTTGCGCGAGTATTCATTTGAAATGAAATGAGAATTTATGAATTACTACGCGAGTTTTATTATGTTTAAAAACTACATACTCTCGACGTTTCGGTTACTTTTCAGCAATCGTGATCACGGAAAGACGAAATATTAAAGTAACTGAACCGTCAGGAGGATGTAGTTTTTAAAAACAATAAAATACGCTTAGTAATTCGAAAATATTAGTCTCATTTAAATTTAATAAATGACACAGGCAGAATATACTGTACTCATTTGCATGGGTGAAATGGTAATTAAAAAAACAATATTATTACAGATTACTGCGCCCGGTGTCGGTGCAAGGCGTCATGGAGCACTCCCTCCAGCATCGCGAGCGAGTCGGAGTCCAGGACTTCGTGCTGCTGGAAGACTTCCGCTCTGAAGCAGCATTCATAGACAACCTGAAGAAACGCTTCCATGAGAACATTATATACGTGAGCAAAATAATACCTGCCATTATTTTTTGTTATATTTGTGAAAATTCTAAGTCGTGGTAGATCCCAGATGTGATCAGTTTTTTTTATGTAAAAAGTGCAGACGAGCATGCAATGCATCCGTAACATAGATATTGCGGATGCGTTACATACCTTAGTTCTAGAGGAAAAGGGAGGGGTGGGAATAAGGAAATACAAGGAAAGGTTGGGAAAAGGGAAAGGGCAACCGGCTCTCTCACTCATCGGACGAAACGCAGTCATTACTGACTACTTTACGCCGATCTTCTGTGAGAGGGTGGTACTTCCCCGGACGAGCCAGCCCATGTTCGAGCTGTAGTAACTTAACCACAGCTAGGCTCTACCACCTCAAAAAATCTATCAGTTGCTGCAGCTCTTACAGCTTGAGCTGTATTTTTCATAAAAAGTATATATCAAAAGAACTATTTTTCTTGGTCCAGTGGTTTTTATATATAAACTATTAATATACTATATATGAAATAAATAAATCGTCATAATTCCACAGACGTACATCGGTAACGTGTTAATCTCGGTGAATCCCTACAAGAACCTTCCCATATACACGGAGGAGAAACAGAGGCTGTACTACAAGAAGGCTTTCTTTGAAGCGCCGCCACATGTGTGAGTCATTATAAAATAGCACTTATTGTAATACTTGAAAGTATATTTCAGGTTATGCCAATCGAAAATAATTGATTTTTTTCTGATTGAAAATATTTATATAAGAGGAAAGTCCTACTGATGACTTGATTCCCAAAAGAGGGTTGATGTCAGGCAGGCGGCCGGTTGTAAAAACAATTAGCCAAAACTATTCACAACATGTAAGGCAGACTCTGGCTAAAGCTGGGAAATTGCCAGGTAGAAGGGGAGGACTACTGATGACTTAACAATTATTTTATCCTTATATAGTATAGATATTTAATATATAGTATAGATCTTATATACTAAACTTTCTTCGTATGAGAAGAGGCCTTTGCTCAGCAGTGGGCTCTGATAGGCTGATGATGATGATGATGATGATGATGATCCATCTATCATGTATAATTGTAACAGCGATGTCAGGTCTAGTGCATTAGCTAATGCTTGAAAGTGTTATCATAGATAAGTCAATAGTCTGTTGATTATCACGGATCGATAATTGTATTTACGTGATATATTACGCGTTCGAAAAATTACTTTTCCGTTAATAAATACTATTTAATTGACCATAAATATATAATTTTCAGTTGGTTCTTTTTATTTTTATATAGAAAAAGAATAAAAATATTATTGGTAAAGAAATTAGTTATATATTTTTTTCTTCGCGAAAAAATAGTTGGCCATTTAGCTGTCAAATTTTTAAGAATATTTCATACCTTTTTTATATTTATAAATTGTTAATAATACGTAATAATTATATTTTCCACCAAAACTAGACTTTTATTTTCAAAAAGTATAAAAATACTAGCTTTCCGCCCGCAGCTTCGCCCGCGTGGAGTTCGGTTATATCGCGTTTCCAAGAGAACCTTTCAAAAGTCTGGGATAAAAACTATCCTATGTTCTTTCTCTAGGTCAACTCTATATCTGTACCAAATTTCATTAAAATCTGTTCAGTGGTTTAGGCGTGAAAGCATAACAGACAGACAGACAGAGTTACTTTAGCATTTATAATATTAGTAGGGATAATATTTTCTTGAAGTTCTTAAATCATCGTTTTCTGAATACATATAAGTCAAATATTTAATAATAATTTCAAACCTTAGTTATAATAAAATTTTAAAACCACGACAACAAGCTGGTGTCTCATAAGGATTAAGGATTATTCGTTTCATAGTATTGTAAAATAAATTTCCAAAGAATATTATTTTAATCAAAAATTTAATATTAATATTGTCACGACGGAAAAATATTGATAATTTCGATCCGCTTACATCATAACTCCGTCATGTTTCCACATATGTTGATAAGATATCATTTAATTTCTCCGACATATAGATATAATTTCACCTGAACTCAAAAATATATTTTGAAAAAAAGATTACTTCAACCTTACTTTTTACACATACATAATTAGCAATTATGTATGTGTAAATTAGTGTAATTAGTATATGTGTATATAGTCAATAAAAATAGACAATATGTATAAGTACATTAGACACTTTTAAATTCTGTTAGTTCAAACAAAAAAGTTCATAAACCTGAATGCGTCACAAAAATTTCTTTATCTTATACCTCATATAACTTATCTTGAGCAGATAATAAATATTATTGCTCTATAGAAAATTATATTTACGAGTCGAGAAAAATTCCTCAATAACTTTTGCATTAAAAAAATACAATAATCAGAAAAAAAATTAAAAAAGGGGACATACAAAGTACACATGTCAGAAGTGAAACTTCTTTGCACTGTTCGTAATACGATGTTCGCTCTGTCTCACTCTTTCTCTCAATCTTTCTCACTTGCTCTCTCCCTACTCTCACTCCACGGCTACTTGCTTCATGCTACGTTCGCCCTGTCTCACTCTCTCGCAATCGGTCTCGATCGCTCTCTCTCTCTCTTTTCGTTGCATACCGGCGTGACGTTACATCTGTCAAAAATTTACCCTCAAGTTAAATTTCACTTCAAAAATATCCTTATAATGTGAATTTTTGTTTTCAGATTCGCTATCGCCGACAACGCATACAGATCTTTAGTGTATGAGCACAGGGAACAATGTATATTGATTTCAGGTAAAATATTTTCAACCATATTAGTAATATTGTTTATCACAACTAGTTTGAGTACATCAATAAAAGTGGAGGCGGTTTTATCTGCACTTCAAATATGTTACTCACAAGGCTACAGGTTTTATACATAACTCTTCCTTTTTGATTGACGTTAAAATAACGATTTGTGTGTAATGTGGTGTACCACAACGTGGTAAAATATATTTTGGTAAATATAGAAGACTTAGATTATTTCATTTATCTGCAGATTTGCTATGGATGTAATTTTCTAAAACTCTTGATAATTTAATGTTGCACAGAATATTTAATATCAGGTTTAGGCATCATTTAGTCTGAGCGAGTGTAATCTCCACAGAAATGAATATTTATCTATGTCTGTCTGAACAAATAACGATTATTCTATTTGTATAAAAATAATTTGATTTACTGTTTATAAATTTCAGGAGAATCCGGTTCAGGTAAAACCGAGGCGTCCAAGAAAGTTCTAGAATACATCGCAGCCCGTACAAACCACCTTCACAATGTGGAGACGGTTAAAGACAAACTGCTTCAAAGCAATCCGCTCTTGGAGGCTTTTGGGAACGCCAAAACGAATAGAAACGATAATTCCAGTCGCTTCGGGAAGTACATGGACATACAGTTCAACTATGAAGGAGCGCCCGAAGGTGGACACATCTTGAACTATTTGCTAGAGAAGTCCAGAGTTGTGAGTCAAATGGCCGGAGAGAGGAACTTCCATATATTCTACCAACTGCTGGCCGGTGGAGACCAGGAACTGATGAAGCAGTTGAGGCTGCAAGGAAGATCGGAAGTCTACAAATATACTACCGACCTGGTAAGTATTATTAGGCAGAGAGAGGGGCTTGGACGGTGGAGGTGAGGGTATAACGCGCGTTAAATAAAGGTCCTTTAAACCTACACCTGGATCGCAAGTCCCAGGCACTGTTGAAGCTCCTCTCCCTGTAACTCCCTGGACTCAATCCATTACATGGTAAGAAGTTTCGTTTCTCTGGAAACCTTTTAAGGAGCCGTATATATATAATATAATTCTACACGTAAAGAATTCATCAAAACTTTCAGTGTTCAAAATGTTTATTTTTAATTTGATATTAATAAACTGTGTAAGATAAAAGAGTAACTCTCAACCGACCAATCATTTAATTCGAATCACCATCAAGATAATTTATTTGGTCAGACATCAGCGAGTCAGAAAATGAACGACGCTGACCAGTTCCGCGTCGTGAGGGAGGCGATGAAGGTCATCGAGATAGGAGACAGCGAACAACGAGAGATGTTCGAGATAGTAGCCAGCGTGCTGCATCTCGGCAACGTGAAGTTCGTGCAGAACGATAAAGGATACGCTGAGATACTCAACCACGACGCTAACAGCCAGAACGTCGCTGAGGTATGATAACAATCGTTATTATTAAGAATTACTTATAAATCTTCATCGTACTTCCATAGTAATACACAAAATAAACTGTAAAAAAAAATAATCACGTCACTTTATTAGTAAATCGCTCTTAAAGTGATCACAAAGCTTCTTGTTTTTGGAGGTTCAAAATTCTACAATACTATTATAAAACCTATCTAATATTATTACAGCTTCTGAAAGTAAACACAACGAGATTGCGCGAAGCTCTGACCAGTAGGACGATCGAGGCTCGCGGGGATGTCGTCAATACGCCTCTAGATTTGGAGCAGGCTCATTACGCCCGGGACGCGCTCGCTAAAGCCATCTATGAGAAACACTTCGGCTGGCTGGTCGCCAGACTGAACGCCTCACTGGCTCCCAAAGATCAAGACGCAAAAGCATCAGTCATCGGTATCTTGGATATATATGGATTCGAAATTTTCCCTAAAAATAGGTACTATAATCTAAAATACTGCAAAAAATTGTTATAGTGGTATTAAAATGTGTAAATACATCCTAATTATTGATATCTGAAAAATTTCAAACATCATACGGAGTAAAAAAGTGATCTTCTATAGTTACATTATAGTATAGAGAAAATTCAACCCAAAATTACTGATTATTTTTGTAGTTTCGAGCAGTTCTGCATCAACTTCTGCAACGAGAAGCTGCAGCAGCTGTTCATCCAGCTCACACTCAAGTCAGAACAAGAAGAGTATCTGAGGGAAGGCATCGAGTGGGAACCCATCGAATACTTCAACAACATTATTATATGTGACCTCATAGAAGAGAGACATAGAGGTCCATACAAATAATATTATACAAAAATCAATTTAATGAAACTTTTTGACTTAAATAATGATTTTATTCTTTGGTCTATGTATAAGTCACTAATTAACAGTAACTAGCAGCTACAAACAGTGATAATTATTGTGGAAATCTTCAATATAGTTTCATATACCTTGATCACTATCATCTATGATGTTTATGTTCATTATTTCTGATGTATTGCAGGCATCATATCGATCTTGGACGACGAGTGTCTCCGGCCCGGCGAGGCAAATGACCTCAGCTTCTTAGAGAAACTCTCTCAAAGACTTGACGGACACAAACACTTCAAGTCACACAAGAAAGTCGACTCCAAGACGCAGAAACTGATGGGACGAGATGTAAGAAAATCATATTATTTTATTCCTCTTTTTTATATGAAGCAATATTTTGTATGTAACTAATTTCTCTAACTACTTATCAGATGTAATAAACAGAGGAATTAAAATTAAAACAGTTGTATAAGCACCATCAACACTTACATGACTTGCTGAAGTAAAATTGAATTATTATCTTTTTTTGTGTGTACAAATAATACTAATAATACAGACCCGAACAATGAGTTATTTAACTGAATAAAAACCTACAGGCTACAATTATATAGTTATATAATTTTATATAAACAGTGTATTTTTATGATTTGTTTGGCGTTATGTATCGCTTATATAAATTTTACATGTTTTTGACCGAAGTGGTTGCTATCTTTAAAACAATAATACTCAATACATTTTGTTTAAACACAACAGTATCGCATCTTATATGTCAGCATACAGACTATAGCTCTCGAGACAAGACGAAGTAACTTATAAAATTAATGGTATTGTAAAAAGGTGTTTGACTCAAGCGATAGATGGCGTTAGTTTGACATATTTGTTATTCAAAGACACGTTCATTAATCAATTATTATTGAATGTCCTTCTAACATAGTTATAAGCCCTTCTAACAAAACTATATATAATATAATGAGTGTGTATAACTTGAATGAAAGTAAATGATCTCTATCACCAATTCCAAGTCGAGCATAATCTAGTCATTTATATACTTACATCTGCTAATTAATTATTATTTTGTAGGAGTTCTGTCTGGTGCACTACGCGGGTGAGGTGACGTACAACGTGAACACTTTTATTGAGAAGAACAACGACCTGCTGTTCAGAGACCTGCAGGGACTCATGGCGGCCAGCGGGAACAATATAGTCGGACGGTGCTTCAAGGTAACACTGACTACTCACCATTGATCATAGACCTCTGCTACACTGACCAATACTATACCAATAGTACCTAATATCGTGTCATATAAAAAAAAATCAACCCAACTTTTAATACTTTACTAATCTAATTAATACTGTTTCCTATCCCAATCTTATGTAACCTTGTAGGGGTAGGAGAAATCTGCAAGTTATTTTGGCTTGTCACCATAAAAAACTTACATATATATATTATTATTCTATATACACTATTTACGACTTCATTTTCACCTAACGATATTAAAGCACTATCCATTAAAATGAACCATATTATTGAGCTATTAACATAATAAAACAATAAATTAATTTCAAGGACATGAATCTAATGAGCAAGAAACGTCCTGAGACAGCGGTGACCCAGTTCAAGGTGTCTCTCAACGAGCTGATCAAGATCCTCAGCAGCAAGGAGCCCTCGTACATCAGGTGTATCAAACCCAACGACTTTAAAACACCCAGTGAGTTATTTTCATTACACTTTGTTACTATTTGGGCATTAGACAAATATGAACCGTATATATTATGGGTCAAGATTCATTTTAATTTTGCAGTATTTTATACCAGGAACCTCAATTATGTCATATGAGCTGGTTTAAATATAGAACAGCTTATAAATCAATACATCCTACTAATATTATAAATGCGAAAGTAACTCTGTCTGTCTGTCTGTTACTCTTTCACGCCTAAACCACTGAACTGATTTTAATAAAAATTAGTACAGAGATGGAATTGACCTTGAGAAAGAACATAGGATAGTTTTTATCCAAGACTATGGAAAGGTTCTCTTGGAAACGCGATATAACCGAACTCCACGCGGGCGAAGCTGCGGGTGGAAAGCTAGTTATACAGGGTGACTGGTGAATTACTATCGATATTTGAGGACGTGATATTTGACAATCATATATGACAAAATAAAAATTAATATAACATAAATGTTAATAAACTTCTGAGTAAAGTTAACCAAAAGTTATGTTATTAATTACGCATCGTATGAACACCCTACAGAATAGGTACACACACACACACACACACTCGCGCGCGGTGGCGTGTTGTTGTATCAGCACGCCGCCGCACGCGTCCACACTTGGAACACTTGGAACGTGTACACACTTTATTTATTTATACGGAAGTTTGGTCAAAAATTAAGTACCTATTTTTTTTACATAATTCGAATGAGAATCATGTACCGAGTATGTTCCTTAAATATTGATAGTAATTCACCAGTCACCCTGTATATGTAAACATTATAAATAGTAGGAAAATATTCTCAAGTATACGTCCAATGATGGTTAAAAATGTTGAAACATAAAAATATGTTAAATATTTCAGTGCACTTCGACGACAAGCTGGTGTCTCACCAAGTGAAGTACCTCGGACTGATGGAGAACCTGCGCGTGAGACGAGCGGGCTTCGCTTATAGGAGGCAGTATGATGCCTTCCTTGAAAGGTAATGTACACGAAATAATTATATTATTATAGAACAGGAACTATAGATATTGACTTATAAATAAAGCTTAAAAAATTGATCACTTTTTTTGGATTTGACTTCGTATATTGAGAGATGCTATAAGAAATAATACTTAACCTTCATAAGGTTTTTTTGCAAATGTTGCAGTGCTTGCGTCAGATCTGACCCAAGTAGTAAAATTATACTGAAAAGTGAATAAAAAATAAATTGTTTAAAGAAAATCAATGGACATTAATCTTATTTGTTTCATACTTTGGTCTATTTCCATAACACTAATATACCTTAATTTTTTTAGATATAAATGTCTAAGCCCTGAAACTTGGCCTAATTACCGCGGCCCAGCGCGGGAGGGAGTACAGAAATTAGTGGCGGCTCTACGATATGAGAAAGAGGAATACAGAATGGGCAAGTGAGTACATTAATGGTAAAATAAAAATATATGGAAGAAATGACTGCCTTTAAAAAAACTTTTTACATATAATTTGGAGATTTTGTCTGTAATTGTAGTACAAGATATCATTATCAATATACAACATCTAATTTTTATATATTTCCTCATTCACATTTAAATTGGAGGTTTTGTCTCTGATTGTAGTACAAGATATCATTATCAATATACAACATCAAATTCTAATATATTTCCTCTATCAATACTATTGAATTAACATAACATATTCACTTATATAGACTTGTTGCCCAAAATTTAATGCAAAATTGTTCACAGCACGAAGATATTCATCCGTTTCCCAAAAACGTTGTTCGAGACAGAAGACGCGTTCCAGATAAAGAAGAACGACATCGCTACCATCATACAGAGTCGCTGGCGAGGATACAGACAAAGGAAGAAGTACTTGGAAATGAAGAGGGCTGCTATCATCATACAGAAGTGGGTGAGGAGGTTCCTCGCGCAGAGACTTCGGGAGAGGAGGAGGAAGGCTGCTGACGTTATTAGGGCATTCATTAAAGGTTAGTAGGGGGAAAGCAATGATAGTATAACTGTACATAGATTTTAAGGCAATGCTCTATATTTTGTTTAATTCTGCGCCGTATTCTGACTTTTAAATTGGTCGAGCTATAAGTTTTTATTTGGAACAATATTAGCGTCAGGGCAACTATAGTATCTCAGAACTAAATGAGCACATTACAGGGCAATTTTCAAAAAATGTCTTTCATATATTTTTTTCAAATTTGCTACATACATCTGTTTACAGCTATATATTTATTTGGAAATATTGTCTATATTAATTTCGTATGCTAATTGGGAACGGTAAAAAATGTCTTTCATATTTGCGACGTACATATGTTTACAGCTGTAACTTTTTGCTTGGAAACATAGTCCATATATAGACTTTTTAAAATTCGAATGCTAATTAAAATCCTTTTACTTTTAATATTAAAGGTTTCATAACCCGTAACGGTCCGGAGACGGTAGAGAACCGTCGTTTCCTCGGCATCGCTAAGGTCCACTGGCTGAAGCGACTCTCGACTCAGCTGCCCACACGGTTACTCGACCTGAGCTGGCCGCCCTGCCCCGCCACCTGCCAAGAAGCATCCAAACAACTACACAAGCTACACAGACTACATCTCAGCAGAAAATACCGCTTGGCTTTATCACCGGAAGATAAGAAGCAGTTTGAATTGAAGGTGCTGGCTGAGGCTATGTTCAAGGGTAAGAAACTGTCAAAACACGATATTTTATAATATGGGTATAAATAAAATTATAACACAGTGGTGGCCTAATGGCAAGTACTAATGTGATTTTTCCGAGTCATATGTACTTTCTAAGAGTATTTAGACATCACTGATTAATGTTGATTCCCAAGGGTTGATGTCAGGCAAGGCGGAAGGTAAAAACAAATAGCCAAAAAAACTATTCACAACATGTAAGGCAGACCCTTGCTATAGCTGGGAAATTGCCAGGTAGAAGAAGAAGGGTATAAATAAAAATAATTGACTTTTTAGACGATTTTAGTCTCGAATGAGCCATTAATATTTCATTGTTACTCAGGTAAGAAGAACAGTTACATCAGCAGCATCCCGGAGCGGTTCGTGACGGACAGACTGTCAGACGAACAGCGAGTACTGAGAGACACGTTCATGGCCTCACCCGCCTGGCCGGCGCAGGAGACACTACTTGTATGTGAATTATATATATTTGACAAATTATATAAGGTGATTCAAACTAGTCACGACGATCTAATCTAAGTCCTATGTCCATATAAGAACTGAATGATTGTTTCTAGTAATGTAGCTCTATATCTGGTAAATATGTACGATAGACAAAAACTTTCTTAAAATAATCAATTCTCACTAGTATCTCCATAGAGGTGAGTCAGGTTTGTAATGTAAGGATACAAAACCCAATCTAACTTCATGCAATGCAATCAATTCTTACTAATATCTATAGCCCATATATCTAAGTTAATTCTAATGCCATATATTCCTCACCAGTACTCATGCGAGGCGGTGAAGTATGACCGTCGCGGCTACAAGCCCCGGCCGCGATCTTTACTAGCGTCCTCCGCGGCGTTATACGTGTTGGACGCGGGGTCGCGACGCATGTTCAAAGTGAAGCATCGCCTGCCGCTTGATAAGCTGAGGGTGGTCGTGACTAACGAGAGCGACGGACTACTGCTTGTGAAGATACCACAGGAACTAAAGAAGGATAAGGTATGAACATGTTAGGAACACTCGTGGTTGGTGTGCCCCGTCGCTGACAGATCCTGGGTACACAACATAGCGGCCGACAGCTTTCGGTTTTAGTGAGTAGGGGCCTGCCCAGGCCGAGCCTCACACATTCCTTCCGGCCCCACCAAGGCCGGTTGGACGGCTCGTAAAAAGAGTTTCCCTGACCCAAAAAAAATGGTAGGAACACTCGTGGTTCAATGAGTTGGGATGTTGGATCTTAATACAGAATGAGAGAAAACTAATATTCTGATAGTTTGATTCTGTAAATATGTAATGATCATGGAGTGTTTTTGTGGTTACGTAGTTAGTATTGGGAAGAACTAATTGTATGGAACTCAGTGAGAATGATTTTGTTGGAACGTGAGCCGTGAAGTTTAGTTAAGTTTTTTGTATATATCTTATGGACCTTATTTGTTCATTACGTCCACATTACGACTTGTAAAAAAGAATATGAAATAAACCACAAGAGACAGAAAACTCTCTTCTTTTTACAACCCTATTTAGGTTTAGTAGGTATTAGAAGTACATACAAATTAATAAACAATTTCTTAGACGATAATATATTGTTTCCAGGGTGACTTGATAATATCGGTGACTCACTTGATCGAAGCTCTCACCATCGTCACGGACTACACCAAGAAACCCGAGATTATAGAGATCGTGGACACGAGGACGTGAGGATAATAACATTCATATATTATATAACGAACAATATGTTGCTTTAAAAAAAGCCCATCAACACATCCAACTAGATTGCTAGCTTATTCTCTAGCAATTATCTAGTTTAAACAAAAACTCCTATTGAAACCTGCACTTTAAGAGAAACCCTCAGAAATATTATTTAACCATATAGAAATGCTTGTGATTCAAAACATTTGAACATTCGCATTCGAGGTCGTTTCCATAAATTGCGTCCGGATTTTTCTATCTTCCACAACCATTATAATGAAATGTATCCCTAATATCATATATAATAAATATGTTTATTTATTAAATGTCTATATTTCAGCATCGCCCACAACCTAGTGAACGGTAAGCAGGGCGGTACCATCGAGGTGACTCAAGGCACGCAGCCCGCCATACACCGCGCCAAGAGCGGGAACTTGCTAGTTGTGAGTCATTACATACACTACATACTGATAATAATAACAAACCATCTACTTATACTAATGGACATGCCTTAGAGATGAGAATTGTGGCACTCCGAAAGAAAGAGAAGAAACGAAGTTTCGGTCTATCTTTATCTCTCTCAAAATAGTACCGTACCTATGAGGAAAGAGATAGTGCTAGACCGAAAGCATAGGCCATCTCTCTCACTCTTTTCAAACCAAAAAATTACTGCAGATTATACGCGTACGGCAAAAGTCGATGGAACAAACTATAACACGTCATTCTGTTATTAATTTTACCGCCTAAACGTTACTTAGACGTTAGAAATGTCACTTGATAAATTAACCAATATAAAATTAATATTTTAATGAAATTATGCTCTATTTAAAATGTCTTTCATCCGAATATTATAGGTAATACAAATATTATATGCAATTTATAAAATAATCAATTTAATTTACTAACTCTTTTCTTATATCTTTCAGGTGGCATCCCCATAGAGACCAGTATTTCAATAGGAACTGTATTTTTGAATCAACAGTCAAAATGTAACGGTATTCTTAAAATTGTTTCTATAATTTAAGATTCTTTTTTAAAGCCAGTTTCGATAAATAATGTTTTATACGACAAGTATTTCTATTTATTTGTAGTCACGTTATTAAGTGTTCATATAATTACTGCCTTTTCTTATAAATACAAGCTTGTCTAGTTAGTTTATGATGTATGAACAACGAACGGCTAATAATTGTTTTGCTGTTTAGAAATATTCACATTTACTAATTATAATTTATTTTACATTAGATATATTTTTTTTAACAATGATTTTTTTACTATTCCATTTCAAACTTTTTAATATATATTATTTATATAATAAATTAAGTATGTCGTACAAAGTACTTATAAAGTAGGTAACATACGCCATAAATATACATAAATTTTACGAAACGTGTAACACCTACTTTTCCTGTTGGAAATTTAAAAAACTTAGTGTTTATTTACAAATCCGGTTATATAAATATTGACACATTATTTTAAGCTTTAGTAAGCTGAATCGAAGGTGCCTCTGTTAATGTAGAAATAAAGCTTGTTTGACTCCTAGAGTCTGTAAGCTAGACAACTGTCAAGTGATTTTTATAACCAAAAAGGGTTACCAGGTTTTTTAATTAGAGTACTAATCGTAGTATACTCCGATTTGCCATAAGTTATAACATAAGTGCCTTCTTCGTTCTAAGCAAGTTCCTTTGTAGTCAATTTATGAAATATATGTATTTTTAAAATTGTTTTTTTCATTTATCCCCCTAATTTTAATCCAATTGGAGTGAACTCAAATCTTAGTCATCTCTGGGTTATGGAGTTAATAATTAAAACAATAAAACAAACAAAAATAAATAAGTCATAATTCATTGCACTTTATTTATAAAAAAGATAGGTACATCTTTACAAATGAAAATCAACTAAAACAATCCAGAGTTATGGCGACACTGAACCAGTCTCACTTTAAAATATAACCAAGCAATTAAAACAGTTGGCAACTTCGGCTTCAATGACAACACCGTACGACTCCGTACAGTTAAAACTAACATTACCAACACTATTTACACAACATTATATAGTTTAAGTATATAAATATATTTATCTATTAAAAATATATATTTTTCTAAATTATCCACCGTACATAATCACTACAAGCATCTCCTGAACTCCGGATTATTCATATTCTATATATACAACGTGAATTTACAAGGAACTTTTCGTATTGTTAGTTACTGGAATAAAATTTACGGAAGATAATAAAGTTACAGTCATTTTATTTTATCAATGAAAATATATTTGAAACGAGAATTAATAAACTAAAAATTTACAAAATAAATTACTTTACATTATCAACCTTTTATGTCATCCTATATTGTTCTAGTTATAGAACTTGGATTGTTTGAAGACAATTGGATAGTCACTTGGTTTAATAAAAATAATAGTTTAAAAACTTCCTACTTGATGTTTAAAAGCAAATTAAATTAAAATTACAGCCTTTTAATATCAAAAATTATGCAATATTATTATATATAGGCTGAGATAAAATATTAGCCCATTAAATGCATTATCCAAGACTTACACACACATCAATTGTGACCAAATATTTAGAATATGTATAGTTATATATATAATCTTTATTTAATATCTACGAGTCACTAGTGCATCTTCAAGGGAAATGAAATGTCTGCTATACTTTGCTTGTATAAAAATAAAACATTATCAATTCCATTAATATATATATACAATCACAGTTACACAAGTGTATACAATAATGTGATGAAATAGCTATTTCTAATAAATAATTGTACTAGCTTACTCTTGTATTATTAAGGCAGTATGGAAAGACCAGCGTGATAACCAATATATCATATTTACAAATCAATGTTCTTTAAATTTGGAGGTAAAAGGAAATGGTGGTCGCTTCATTATATATAAGCATTATTATTTATATGTGTAAACACTTCTAAACTATAGTCAATATTAAAAGAGCAATTATCTAGAATCGCCATGTGTAACAGTGCATACATGATTTCTAATTGTTACACAATCACCTCACTCAAACACAACATACAACAAGAGGTAAGGATAACTAACTACCAATAACAAAATTTCACTTAATACTATATAAGAGATATATTTACATCATTATATACATAAAGCTATCATACACTCCCACATCATAAGAGTTAGCGCCATTACATCCTTTGGTCATCATACGATTTTGGTATTCGCAAACATTTTTCAAATCATTGTATCTGGAAAATTATTTGGAGACATTCTATATAAAAACATTAAAACGCAACCCAATAAAAAGGCGCCATATTAGTCTCTCTTCATTTAAAATATAAGAACAGTGAGTTACTTTACTTTCAATGAAGCAAAAATTTTAAAAATAATTTTACACACAAACTTATTATTGTCTTATCTAACTGTTCTTCTCTATACAATGTATTCTCACTAATAATGTAAGTGGCAAAGTACCATCACAAACTATACGTCTCTGTAAGCAGAGTCAGGCTCATATCATAGTCTATTTGAAGCACAAACAAGCACTGTAAAGCGTCTCAGTAGTCTTCCCCACACTTCACGATTGTCACAGCCTCTTACTACCGGTAGTAACCATAGTAGTAATACTCCAAATACTATTTAACTTGTCCGACGGGTTCCGGGTTAGTCTCTGGCTTGATGTCACTTTTGAAACTCGACTCAGAGTTCTCATCCTGTGTGAATGTGTATGATTTAGGTTTTGATGATTGTTCCTGTTCCCGCTGCTGTCGCCGGCGTTGTTTGGACCAGAGCTCGTGACAGTCTTGCCATGTTGGCAGCTCCGGGGCTGGCATTCTGAAAATAAATGTTTAGTAAATTAGTCATATATATCAGTATCACAAAGGGAGATATTCATCTATACTCATATTAATGAAAAAATCTAAAATACGTATACTGATGTACCATACCTACCGATCAATAAAATTGTGTAGGAATTAATAAATATGTATATACAAACAAAACTTATACTAATTGGTTGGATAAATCTATGATACTATATTCATGCACTCACTGATCCGGTACAACATTCTTCAGCCACACACTCTTCAAAGCATCCTCCGCTGTAATTCGTTTATCTGGATCCAACTCCAGCATCCGATCCAACAGCTGTAGGGCCGCTGGTGGCATAAAGGCGAACTGTTCCCGAACACATCGCTTGTGGAACCGTTTGGGCCGCAGAGTGTGCCACAACGGCAGCTTCACCACGTTGGGCCACACGCCCGGCGCTGGTGTGCCACAGATGCGAGATATCATCTCCAATTGCATCATCTCCGTGTTAGCCTTCAATGTATAATGTACATTTAGTCATAAAATATATAATTGTAAATACAGGGTGACTGGTGAATTACTATCGATACTTGAGGACGTGATGTTTGACCATCATATATGACAGAATAAAAAATAATATAACATAAATATTAATAAACTTCTAAGTAAAGTTAACCAAAAGTTATGTAATTAATTACTCATTGTGTGAGCACCCTACAGGTTAGGTATACACACACACACACACGCGCGTGTGGCGGCGTGGTGTTGTATTAGCACACCGCCGCACGCGTCCACACTTGGAACACTTGGAACGTGTCTACACTTTATTTATTTATACGGAAATTTGGTCAAAAATGAAGTACCTATTTTTTTTACATAATTCGAATGAGAATCATGTACCGAGTATTCTCCTTAAATATTGATAGTAATTCACCAGTCACCCTGTATATGAACAGACAATGGTGTAAATATAGTATCTTATTTTTAATAACTAACGACTCATTGAAAACTTATGTTAAAATGAATCCTTTGCAACAGGAGAGTACTGTCGCCTGAAATACAGGTTTATAACTAGCTCAGGGACAGTAGACTTCATTTACATATAACACCTTTTACCTTTATGTATTGTGATCAGATTATGTCTATACAATTGTAATGTGTTTGGGATAAATAAACATTATTATTATATGTGTAATTAATTATATGGCTCACCAAAGCTTCAATTTTAAGGACATTTAATACCTTAACACTTCACATACATACATTTATAAATATTGTAGTCTATAGAGAATCTGTTGTATAATATCTTATATTACAAGCCAAGCATATTTAAAACTCGATACCTGGAACAGTGGATGTTTCAAGAATAACTCCCCAAGTATACACCCCATGGACCACACATCCACAGCGGGACCATATCGTTCCTCTCCTAACAATAGTTCGGGTGGTCTGTACCACAGTGTGATGACTTTGTTAGTGTAAGGCCGAGCTCGGTCCTCGGCTGACCACAGACGAGCCAGACCGAAATCACCTAGCTTTACTTCACCTCTGAAATAATTTAAGATTAATAAGATAAAAAATATATATAATATTTTATAATCCATAAAATAAGGTCGATTTTGGGTGATAATATTCAAAGTATAGCCAGTTTTCTTCTGAGCATATTCAATGATATAAAAAATATAGGTACTTTTTCATTACATTCAGTTCTATTACAGTGCAATATAGATAAGTTATCAACACTAAGATAACGTTCTTGTAATTATTTTTAACAATCTTAATATTTATTTGTATTAATTATTACAAGTACCTAGTAAGGCTTAATAGGTATGTATACATACAAAACTAAACCTTGGTACATAATATATGATTACATTTTAAATATTTCTATTTAACATTCATCCTAAATAGGTATTATGATAATAAGATACCAACTCACTTATTATTCATTAATATATTACTGCATTTTATATCTCGATGTAGGAAATTCTTCCGATGACAGTAGGCAAGTCCATCTAATAGTTGACGCATGATGGATGCGTTATGTGACTCGGTGAAGTCTACCATCTTGGACTCTAAGAGACCCATGAGGTCGTGGTCCATGTATTCAAAGACCAGATAAAATGACCCTTTATCCTAAAAAGAAATAAAATGAAGAATATTATGGTTATTTTCATAAGAATTTTTCTATATTGACAGGGATAGTACAAATCAGTGTAACTACTATTGGATACTTCAACGTATCTACATTAGAAGCAGATTATCAGACGAAATTTTTTCACAATTAGTAATTATTTAGTCTTTAATATACTACTAATTGTGAAAAAATTACCTTAAAAGTCGTTAATTTAGAACATATTTTTTAGATCAAACCTTCTTCTGATATCTGCTTTCCATGTAGATACGACGAATTATCCAATGGTAGTTACATATGTACGTGGATTTATACTATCCCCGAAAATATAATAAAAACTCACCTTTCTAAAGTCCATAGCATCTTGTTTGTCGGTAACAATTTCTCTTAAGTTAACAATATTCTTGTGATTCAGTTGTCTCAGAATCTTTATTTCTCTGACAGCGGTGATTGGGAAGCCTTCTTTTTCGTTTTCCAGTCTCACCTTCTTCAGAGCTACGAGTTGTGCCGTGTTTTTATCACGAGCCTTATATACTTGACCGTATGTGCCTTCGCCAATTTGAGTTATCACCTACAAAAAGCGTCAAATTCATCAATTAATTATAAAATCCTTCAAGTTAGGTATATGTAAAATTTGCATTGATATACTACATATTTGTTAATTTGTAGATTAATATGAAAAGTATACCATAAAACTAGCATAATCAATATAAATAGAAAAAATTAATAATCTATGAGCGTCTGACTAGAACCACGGTCTAATAAATAATATGTATGAACACTACATTTAAATTTTATATATGTATATTGTGTTGCTTGTGGTCGCCAATGTTCAATACTTGTAACAGATTTGTTATATATTTCCAAATTACCTGGAAACCGTCAACACATTTCTCTCCCCAATCCTTGGCGTGGTGTGTGGGAGTCGCTACCGGGACAACCTTTGACCCGCGGCGTTTCAGAATACGCGGCCTTTTCAGTTTAGATCCCGCCTGTTAAAATACATACTAAATAATTAGGCTAGTCGAGTATGTTTTAATTTATTTACAAATTATAATGTTTTTATAGGTATATAATAGTTTTATTCATGTCACAAAGGAGCCTATTAAAGAACTGGCCATATTCATGTGGTTAAGATACAGACAACCCATTCTCATAAATAAGCTCGTATATAGATTCCTATTTATTAATCTTCTTCTTCTACCTGGCAATTTCCCAGCTATAGCCAGGATCTGCCATGTTGTGAATAGTTTTGGCTAAATGTTTTCACGACCGGCCGCCTGCCTGACATCAACCCTCTTTGGGAATCAGCATAAATCAGTGATGTCTAAATATTAAGTACATATGATTTGGAAAAATCACATTGGAACTTGCCAGGGCCAGGATCGAACCTGCGCCCTCGTGCATGTGGCGGGCCTTTTTAACCACTGACTCAAATATATATAAATTATATTGCTATATATTAATATATAATAATAGTGTTTCTTGTTGTTTATATTACATACATCAGCCTGCCTCTTGCCGCTGAACACATGTGAGTATTGATCTCTGTGTGTGGGAGGACGAGCGGGCGGAGTGGACCCGTCTAATTCATCACCACTCAACTCTTCTGACCCAGGGATCACTGTAACAGGAAATTTGGTTATATCATGAACTTTCCTAACACAAATATGCTGGTTAGAATAGAATACAATATACTTTATTGTACACCACAAACAGTAAATTTTAGACAGAACAAAAATAAAAAATTAAATTTTACCTATTTTTGAATACCTACATCGATGTATAGTTGTGAAATATTTTTCTTATTTATTATACACAAACTCGACCCACCTGGCGGCATCGGTAAATTCATAATACCGGTTCTCTTAGGTTTTTCCGGTTTCTTGACTGGACTTGGGGACGGCGTGCTTAATGGACTATCGTTGGCTAGGGTCTTTAAATCTTCGACCTGAGATAAATAGAATAATATTATATTTCAAAACTCTTCTTTAAATTATTATATAATAAATCTTGGTTAAAAAATCTAGTCTTAATACCTGAGTATTAGGCGGCATGGGCAGTTTTGTGAGGCTTTTTGGTTTAGGCGGAGGGGGTTGTTGGCTGTTCATAAAGACACCCTCTACCACGCTGCCACCCACCTTCGGTAGGGGCGGTAAAGTTGATGTGGCACTTGGTACAGGGGCGGGCGGTGTGACAGGAACTTTTTGGGTCTAGAACAGAGTAATGAGTATCAATTAATAATTATGACTCTCAAAAATAATTAATAGCACTAAGCCATTATGTATAGTTTATAATCATGTATATTATAGATTATATAAATAAGTATAACTTCTATAGTTAAACTTCTTTCATAACTCTTAAAACAATAGTATTAAAACCACATCATTTAAGTGTATCAGGGATTATTGTTTTATATATAGTTTACTAGCTGCGCCCCGCGGTGTTACCCGCGGATTTCCTAGATGTAAAGTAGCCTATATGTTATTCCTGGACGTCAGCTTCCTGTATACATCATTTTATCAAAATCGGTTCAACCGTTTGAGTGTGAAGAAGTAACAAATATACACACACACACTCACAAACTTTCGCAATTATAATATTAGTAGGATATCATACCTCAGAGCTATTAGAATTCTCATTAGCTTCCCCATTGGTGGTTGCGTTTGGTTGCTGAGGAGGTTGCGGCTCAGTTTCTGATGGTTGAGCATTGGATTCCTCCGAAGTCTGTACCGGCATTGGAATGTCTACTACATCCGATTTGGAGTTCTCACCATTTTCCTTTGAACTCTAAGAAAAAATATATTATTATATATTTTATATATTTTTATTTGTAAGATTAGATTTTAGAATTTTTTCTAACTTGTTTTAAGAAAATGTTAATTCAGTACTGATAAATTTGGTGTTCGTTTTATTATAACGAAATTATGTTTCCTTTAACATGTATTTTGTTTTTACATCTGATAATAATCACCTGCATACTATCTGCATTATCAGCAAGGTCTTCTGTTGGTGCATCAGTGTTAGTAACTGATGCACTGCTCGAGGCAGCTCCCTGTGATTCTTCTTTTTGTTCTAATATTTCTTGTAATTTCTGTATATATATTAAAAATTAAAATATACATATATATTTATATATGAATGTAGTTATTAATAAGCTAGTGTATACCTTGGCACGCTTGTGTTTGTCTTTAACAAGTTCAGCAAACAAACTGGTATCACTAATCTTTTCTTTGAAGTCAATCTTTCTCTGTAACAGTGTGGGAGGGCTTGGGGATTCATGTTTACTCCTGAAAACATACAATATAAACTTAAATACTTTCATTTCCATTGACATTTATTGAAAATTATGTCAAAAATATTATAAAAGCTACCTTAGATTCCAATTACAAATATTATGTAAATATTACTTGATTTTAATAAGAATGAAAATTATTAATTATTTATTTTGTCCAAATTATATGCTAAAGCATTAAAATAAACATGATCAAATATTGAGTGTATGTGATCAAGTATGTAGTGTAGACTCTATGTTCTATAGACAACATATATCGCAGAATGACAGTAAAATCCATATTCACACATGTTGAATTTATTTTAAACAATCGGTGCGCAAACTCGGTGCAGGCATGAAATGCACTACTGATAGTTATAGTGACGTTGATAGCTAACAAAAACGAATTTAAAGCATCCAAGGAGGCTTCACGAATTGCCAATTAATAAAACGAATTACAGTAATATCCCGCTTAACGCGACCCCGTTTTGCGCGGTTTCACTATAACGCGATTATCAAAAATTTATTCAGGTTGGGACATTGCAGAGTATAGACAATAATGATGACCGTGTCTTGAACGTGTGTCAAACGATTAAAAACAGTGTTTGGTGTTATGAACGTATTTTACAAGAACGTAAACAAAACGCTACCCAAAAACAATACATGTATTTTTTCGTAAAAAATAGGAGTACCTATGGATTGTATAGTGTTCTTAGAATTAAAGTGATTGATTAAAATGATTTTTATATTTGTGTATTAAATTTTGACTGTGTTTAATCATAAACCTCAATATACGCGAATTTCAGTTAACGCGATTTTCTTCGGAACGTATCCCTCGCGTAAAGCGAGGTATTACTGAACTTTAGAGGTTGATATCAATTACTATCTCTAACTTATATATAGTGTGTTTACCTGTGCCTATCTCTGGCTACTTCTGCATGTCTGGGCCGATGTCTCGGAGGTGATGATGAACGACGTCTGGACCGTGAACCAGAGCGACGACGCTTTAAGGACGACCTACTGTGAGACCTGGAACATTAATAAAACTTATACAGGGTGACTGGTGAATTACTATCAATATTTAAGGAGAATACTCGGTACATGATTCTCATTCGAATTATGTAAAAAAAATAGGTACTTTATTTTTGACTAAATTTCCGTATAAATAAATAAAGTGTTGACACGTTCCAAGTGTTCCAAGCGTTGACGCGTGCGGCGGCGTAGTGTTGTATCAGCACGCGTGTGTGAGTGTGTGTGTATACCTAATCTGTAGGGTGTTCATACGATGCGTAATTAATTACATAACTTTTGGTTAACTTTACTTAGAAGTTTATTAATACTTATGTTATATTAATTTTTATTTTGTCATATATGATCGTCAAATATCACGTCCTCAAATATCGATAGTAATTCACCAGTCACCCTGTATATTATAGATTAACTTCCATATATATTTAAATATTTTAATTTTAACCGACGATTCAACTACTTTAGACTGATCGTGATTAATGGAAAACGAGAAAAACTATGTCAGTTAGCCAAATTTCTCGATAATGCAAACAAAATGTAGTTTAAATTTATTTTTTCTTCTTATATAGCAAATATCCCTTTGCCTAAAATAATCCTATCAACGAATCTATATGTTTCCGAACTTTACATGATAGTAAAATGACTATTAAATAATCTCAAACACATTTAATGCAGTACTAACTAACAATACTCAAACAAACCTAAAACAAAAATATAATACAGTCAGTTTTATGAAAATTTCTCATACATTTTTAAGTAAATTAAAGTAACGTTACACGTCACTTGTTAAGGTTATAGACTAATCCATACACGAAAAACCCGAGCCACTTTTTCCATAAATTACGGAGAAATAGTATGTACATGGGATTCTCGCCAGGATAATCAGATATACGCACTAAAACACCAAAATACACTCGTTTCAGCTGAGAAAGGGGTTTTTTTTTGTCAGGGTGATGTATGTGACAAAGGCACCATCTCAAGTCAACTTATAATCACTGCCGGCGTTAGAGGGACTGACACCCTGGGCAAGAATATTTTGACGCCCACTTGAAGAAATCAAAATCAAGTATTAATTTTTTTCTGAACCAATGTGAACACTGAACGTGTATTAAGAATTCTACATAATATATTCCATCTACCATCTTCCATTTTTCCTTTAGCGTAACCCAGAGCTAACGACGTGGACGTAGAAAGTTATGTAGCTCCTATTTTTTAATTTTTAAGTATCCTCACTAATCCACTAATCGCCCCCCTAATTTGGCGCCCTGGGCCGTCGCTCCATCGCGCCCCCCCACAAACGCCAGCACTGCCTATAATATATGTTAACATACCGATGATGAGTCTTCTCCCTATGTCTCTCCCTGTCCCTACTGCGTCGTCTGCGAGGCGAGCGGCGGCGGTGACGACGCGGGCTGTACTCACGACTACGGGACTCGTGGACCGGGGAGTCTGCATAATACATACATGGATATATCATATAAATTCTAATTATTATCATTAAGATCAAATTCGATATGAAAGTTTTTGTTATTTTCAATTTATTTGTTTATTAAATGTTATTAATTTGATTAGCTTTTCAAACGTCAGTTTGTTTTGGTAATGGAACCATTTGTGGACTTTTAACATAAATACTAGTTAGAATAAGGAATACATTTAACAATATGTATATACAATACAAAAGCTAAATTTTTTAGAAAGATACTATACTAAATTTTGACATTATCAATCTCATGTAAACAGTAAGTCAGGGAAACCATTTACTTATAGTGGTTTAAGCAACCATTATCATTTCCTTGTTATGCCAGAAATTTACATTTTGCACACTTATATATAAAAATATGATTAAAAATGTTATTTGGCATAATTTAACATACCAGATATAACCATAATTTCATTAGAGATGCGTTGTTCATGCCAGTAGTCGCGTCTTCTATCATAATCCTGTTCTGTGTCCGAGTCAATAGTGACTGTTTCATGGTAGGGAGGTGCCAGCGGTGTGTGAGGAGTTGTTGACTTCTGCCTCCTCCTGCTAAAGGAATATCATAGTACAGGGTATATTAGTCAATAACAATGAACAATATAAGAAATAATAATAAAAATTCTAACATTCAATACAAACATTCTTAGTGCAGAATCTAAGTTTGAACACTACAATTTTATGGACTCACCATAAATCAATACTGTGAGCATAAAAAGAATATATTCATTAATACACAAACCTTTACAATGTTGTATATAGAAATTTTGAATAGTCATACAAATTTGCATCATTGAAATCAATTATTTTACCATTATAATTTTGTTACATAGATAATATGAAAAATTGTATCCAACAAAGATATTAATAGTATAAAGTGTAAAAGAACTACAAATTAATAATCAAAGTTGAAACATTGTCTTTCAAATCATATAGTAATAGGCAATTTTTATTAGAGGCTATAAAAATATAAATAAAAGTGAAGTATAAAAATAAACCTTATTAGTATGGAATAAAGTGTTTGTGTAATAATTTTTAATTATTTTATACATAACATTTAGCAATAAATTTGAACAAAATCATATTTAAAAAGCTAACTAGCTCTAAGGGTGAAACTAGCTGATTATAAATCTATATACATCTCTATACAAATGATTATTACATTTTTCTAATAGAAATGTAGATAAAATAAACTAGTTGTATACATAACCTACTTATGTACAAAAGTTAGAATTTTATAGTTATTCAAATATAAATATGTAATATGTAAGAAGTTACTTTAAATATCTTACCTAATAATAGGAGATCTCTCTGCATGAGGTGAGAATGGGATAACATTGTGCATAGAAGGCTCGCGGTGAATGGGTCGGTGTCGAGGAGACACCTCATGCCTCAACGGAGGAGTTGACGGGGACACCGGGGAACAGGAACCGTTTCTTAACGGAGATGATCCTTTTTCCCACTCACTAACGGGCACCTGAGTGTATCGTTGTGGTGTCAAGGGTCTGAGCGGTGTACAAGTTGCCACGATATCACCAGGAGACAAACTCTCTAGACTGGCTGAACGCGACCTGTGTTTGGACTTCTTCTTTTTCTTCTTCTTGTCTTTCTTTCGTTTCTCCTTCTTTTTCTTATATCGGGAATGATCATCGAACTCCGGGACCGGTTCCTCGTATTCAACGCCTCGTCTCTTCCTTGCCGTGGAAGAATCTCGAGTGAGGGTGTAATCTTCGACCACTCGTCTGCTGCTAGTCGTAACAGATATCTTGTTGTCAAGGAAGGTACGTATGGGGTGGGATTTTCTCGTTCTATCTAAGTCATCTGCAATATGCCGACCGATCGAACTAGCTTCACTTTCTATCTCACCGGCCTCGGGAGCTGATAGATCTTCAGAGCTGACATCGGAATACTCCACCAGGGGTTTCATGGAGTTACTAGTAGCATATGACTGTTCATGGGAGCCCGAATGACTCCTGTACTTCTTGTGTGCGCGCTTCTTGTGCTTTTCCTTGTGGTGCTTACTGTGTCTCTTTTCGTAACCTCGCTCCATAGTGACCGCGGGCGGCTTCCGCCCAAAGAACTCTTCACATCACATGAACTGGAAACATAAAATAATATTTCACTTCACACTGTATTTATTATTATAAATTATCTAACATTCCGTAAAAGGTCACCGAGCTTAACGAACTCAATTATCAAAAAAAAAATTTATACACGAAATAATATTAAAACTATAAAATATATAAAAGACAACACTAATATTAACACTACAATAAAATAAACAAAAGAACTTACCTCAACAAAAAACGGACATGGGTCCGTCGAAGGCACGGTTCTTGTTATTGCAAAATTCTTTTTCGGTTTATATAGGATTTATTTAAGATAGATTTCAGAGGCTTTAGTCGACAATATATAATAATTCTAAATATTTATTGCTTTGGTATCTTTATTTTGCTAATCATGATCATAGATTGCGCATAATTCATGTAATTACATCGGATTCTTTTAATGCGAATTCGAGAACGTCGATTGCTAGTCAGCCATTTGCTTTTTCATTTAATTTCATCATCATATAGTCAGTGTGGACTGTTTAAAAAATAATTTAAAATCGATTTTTTTACATTGAATAGATAGCCCCTAAATCGATTATACACTATTTATATAATCGATTATACAGTATGTGCCACTTATTTCGAATAACATAAAGACATTTTGTGACAGAATGTTCACAATTAAAATCTTTTCACAATTTCACAATTAAATAAAAAACATTTTTTATGCGCACATATTAGCACTAAAATTCACCTTTCTGTTTAAAAAGTGAAATGGATGTATAAATGTTTGGATCTATTTCCCTCAACCTATAATAAGAAAGATTTGGAATAACTGAAATAAGGTATGTATATACTGGAATATATAATTATACTGAATTATCATTCATCCCATATAAGTATAAATTATCGTTAAATGAAAGAATACAACAAAATTATATATTTTTTTAAAGTATTGTGCATTATTTTAATTTCAATATTTACTATTTATATCAATTATGAATTTATAACAAATAAGCGATTACTTTTTAATACATTAACATTATTAAACATGTTGATATTAAAGTAATCTTAAATATACACTTACCTTAAATCCAACAATATTTTCATAATTTGAAATAGATTTTATGATAACCGAATAGTATATAATGAAAAATAGGGATCAAAATTCATTAGCTAAAACTATTTGACATTTTGAATCTGTGATTGCGTGTTGCGTCCTTCTCGAGAAGGGAATATTTTTCTAAAAACATTTTAAAACTATATAAACTGATACTTTAAATATATTTAAGAGATGTAATATGTATAATTCAATCGTAATTCTAAACAAAATATACAGTGTTACATTCAAACGGTCATATTGACCCAAAGGCCATAAGTTCATGGCTTCAATTGCTCGCACGGTGAAGTGTCCCAATATGGAAAAGAAATTTTGAATATTTCTAGTGTACGTTAACCTATTATGTTGTGAATTTGAAGTTCTTATAAGCAAAAACCGATAAGGCGCTGTTATTAAGACCATAACGATGGTTGGTTTGATGATGGAGTCGTTGAACCTATATGCGGCTTTCTGACATTGTACCGAATCGGAAGTATGTAAATAAACATGAATGATACAGATATTAAAATAGTGGAATCTCCGAAAGAGTTGGTAGGAGTCGAGGTGTCCCCTGCGTCGGAGGTTAATAACGAAAATGAAACGGATCCTTTGTCGATTGACGAAGAAGTGGACGTGAAGCTCGAGCCTGCTGACGAGGGTGCAGAGAAAGATGAAGTCTGTGATGACAATGCCAAAGAAACTGTAACCGAGCCTGAGAAGGAAACTAATCACTTGGAGACCACTCAAACTAACGAAGGTAGCTATCACATGAAAATAACTTGAAAATAAAAATGGTATAACAAAAGCATTTTATAAGTAAAATTGGTTTAAATTTTCATTTTATTTACCAGAAAACATTATTTAAATCTTAATCTATTTGTTTATATTTTGATATAATTCTAAATTATTATTAATAAATTATTAAATATATAAAACACATTTAAAGAGGAAAATATTGAATAATTTTAAATTTTCTGTTAAACAAAAATTGGTGTGGTAAATTTTTTATTCTTTTTCTCACTTAATTATACTATATCAATCATAATAAATGTAAATTTATTCATTTACCTATGAAGTGCAATATAATATATATACTTTGGTTATTTTTGAGAAATAATATATTTCAATATATTCTTAAACATAATTTTCTATGAATAAATTATCATTATTAAGTTACTAATTCAATTGAAATTCAATTCAGAGTTTTGAACATTAATTAATTGTCAAAAGCAGTATGAGGATGGAAACCAATCTCCTTTTCAATTGTAATATTGTATCAAAATTAATAACAATATCTCATTCTTTATATATTCTTATATGTATAATATTTTCATTAAGTTCTTTAACTTCATACACAACACTTTTCTATAACCAAGTGATCAATTCATAAATTAATGTTATTATTTCTCTAGTAAGAGTAGTGTAAGAGGAAAATATATTTTCTACATTATAGGAAGCACCAAAGATTGTTAATGCTTATTTTTGTTGATTCAGTAAATACTTTTAAGTTCTTACCAGATTGTATATCAATATTAAGCTCGACAAATTGACTGTTTTATACAGTCCATTCTGGTACTCTGATATAATATTATTTCTTATATATTTGATATTTTATTTCTAAGATTCCAATATCTCTTTTCCAGTATTGATTCAGATTGTACTTCCTTTTAATGAATCTTCACATATATTATGTTTTTTAAATAACATCTTAATTTAAGTCTCAGAAACTTGAATAATAATCTATTTGACCAACACTGGCCATATGTAATATTCATACTTGTACAATCTCAATTTTCTAATAAGAATTTTTAGTTACAGATGAAATAAAAGAGGACTGTACAGTGAATGAGGAGGAAAATGTGTCTACAGAAGTGGCAACTAAAGTAAATGACATTCAAGAGGAGAAAACTATAGAAACACCTTCGGAAACTGCAGCTAAGGAACCGGAGGTTGTTGATCGAGTTATAGAGGTTGAAGACAGCCCCAAGGTTGTGGAAACGGAGAAGGTTGCCACCCCTGATGTTGAAATGACAGAGGTTCAGGTTGATAAGGTTAATAAAGATCCCAAGCCCAGCATACAAACTATTAATGGGGATGTTTCTAAGGTAATCATCATAGTAATTTGTCTTTTACATAAGGTAGATTTAGTGTGTAAATTTGAATGTACTTTTTTTGTTTAAAATAATTTTTATATAGGATTGTTTCGATCGCGATTTCGGTAGACGAATTTGTTGTTAGGCTGAGATCTTAGGGTTGACCCTAAGCCATAAATCCCCCTGTACTAATGCTATATATAATGAGACATGTCATAAATTCCCACCCCTGATGAGTCTTCATAATGGTCGAAAACCAGTTGGATAGTCCCCTACCTTATACAATAGTGGACAAATACTACATTTTTTACACACACCATTTTAAATAGGAATAATGAGTGATTTATTACCATATAATAAATAATTTTGTACCATTATAAACTAGTCACATATTTTCAACAGGAAGAACAGTTGAACAAAAGAAGAGCCAGCCAAGATATAGACACTGAATCTCCACTGAAGAAATTATGTGCTGAAGTCGAGAAGACGTTCCCTCAACATGACGTGATGATAAACGATTATATACAGACAGCTACCAAGAACAACGTGGACGAGATACAGAGACACACGGAGCAGCTGCTGTCAGAGATACAGACGCTGAGGGAACTTGCGCAGAAGAAGGAACACGAGTGGAATAATATACTGCACCTCAAGAAGGTCAAGGAAGAAATACTATTGAGGCTGCTCAGGAGGAAACAGGTGCTGGCCTTTGAAAAGAGTGCTGACGTGAACGGCAGTGACAGAACCGATCCCTTTGACTACCTCCAGGCCAAGAACCTGGCTATCGACAAGAGCGATGACATCTCTGGCCTGGCGATCAAACAGCCGGGCTCCGCGATCGTCAACCCTATCATGCAGGCGCCCATCATGCCCGTGACGTCACACTTCAACCCCATGTCAGGGCTGCCACCTCCCTATGATAAAGCGGCTCACATGCAATCTATGCCCAAACCTAGCCAGCTATTTCCTCAAGCGATGATGATGCCGGGTCATCTGCAAGGTTTCCCTAGAGATATGAATGGTCAGCTGCCGTCCAGCTACGGCATGCCGATGGGCCGTCAAGGGCCGACCAAAGACGTGAAGAGTATAATCGCGGATTACAGGCAGAGGAACCCAGAGGTAACTCCTCGCAGGGGCAGGCGGATGAAGCCGATCGTCAACCCTAACATGATGAACCAGCCGCGGCCCATCGCGCCCAAGGTGGACGCCATGAACAGTCTGAGTAACCTCAACATGCTGTTCAATAACTTGGACATGGTGAGTTAATATGAACCAAGTGGTTTCAAATTACTACCAATTTAAGGGATACTATACTATAAATGACCATTCATGTTTGTAGAATGCAATTAATTGTTGTGTTAACTATAATGGGTCATTCATAAAGTATGTCACACGAGTTTTAGGACTGTTTAAGCCCTCCCCTTAAAGTTGTCACATTTTTCTAACTTCTCCTCCCCCCTGATGTGACGTCACACATTTTTTTTAAATTTGTGTGTATTTAAAAATAATGGAGACAAAACATTTTTTTAAATTTTTACTTAAGTTTATTAAATATACAAAATATGTGTTTTAGTACTTAAAATTTTATTATGTGACGTTACAAAACTATTGAACCCAAGTATTGCACCTAGTTGCACTTTAGTAATACTCTCCCTTCACAATAAAGTGTGACGTACTTTATGTATGGCCCCTAAGGGTAAAAATGGCTTACATTTTTATTCCATTTATACAAGTTAGATAATTATATTTCTTATTAGTCATGATTCAATAGAAACGAACGGCGTTCAATCATTATTATGAAGAATGTTAGTTATATTGAAAAAAATATATAAAATATTTAATGTATATTTTATATGGTTCATAGTAATATGTATAAGAAAAAATATATATACTCAGCTAGAATAGACATATTACAAGAAATTTGTTTAAGGATACACCAAGTTTTTTACATATCATGAATGCGAAAGTTAGTGTGTATAGATGTTTGTTGCTCTATTTCGCAATAACTGCTGAGCAGATTTTGATATAGCTTTCCTATAACGTAGTTTTAACTATTGAATAAAGTCTAGTCTAGAATTTTTTTGAAGTCACGTGCCAAAATTTATAGATATCGTGACGATTACTTATCATGTAATATTTTAACATATTTTAAACATTTAACTACGAACCAAGCGGACGAAGTCGCAGTCTAAGCTAGTATATAGTTTATTAAAGTAACAGCATAATTTAGTGAGTGTGTAAAGTGTCTAGTACGGAGCGACGAATTAGTTCAAGGTTCTTTTGTTTTATCAATTGAATTAGTTTAGCGATTAAATGTAAGGAGTTGAATTTTACGGAGTGTTCAAATATATTATCTTGTAGAAATAAATATTAATTACTATATAGTAATTATATAATTATTGTGAGAGCGAATATTAAAAACTTTGACTTGATAGTACATTTAAAAAAATATATGATTTTTTTGTAATGATATTAATTAATTAAATATTAATATTTAAAATGTATCAGAGGAAGGTTAGGGTGAAGGTTGGCGCAATTATCAAAAAAATTGTAATGGTTTGAATAAAAATATTATACAGGGTGACTGGTGAATTACTATCGATACTTGAGGACGTGATTTTTGACGATCATATATGACAAAATAAAAATTAATATAACATAAATATTAATAAACTTCTAAGTAAAGTTAACCGAAAGTTATGTAATTAATTATGCATAGTATGAACACCCTACAGATTAGGTATACACAAACACTCACACAGACGCGGCGGCGGCGTAGTGTTGTCTCAGCACGCCGCCGCACGCGTCCACACTTGGAACACTTGGAACGTGTCCACACTTTATTTATTTATACGGAAATTTGGTAAAAAATTAAGTACCTATTTTTTTTACATAATTCGAATGAGAATCATGTACCGAGTATTCTCCTTAAATATTGATAGTAATTCACCAGTCACCCTGTATATAATAAAGAAACACTCTTAGAATGATGGATGTAAGATACATAATGTATCAATCATATTTATATATATAATTAAAGAATATTATGTCCTCAAAATAATATATGTACTTAGTTTGTTGTCGCTTAACTTTTATTTTTTCTTGCTGTTATTACCTATAAGTAAGATACCACTAGTCTTATTTTTTATTCATGTATCTGGAATGTTTTGTGTGTGTTTTTTGTTGGTGATCTAATAAAAAATATATACTTATTATTTTTTAAATATTCCAGAACCAGAAGGCCATGATAGAGCGCCTGCAGCAGCTTCAAGCGGGCGGTCTGGCCAACGGGATATCGTTCAAAGACGTGCTGGTGCAGGTCGCTAACATGCAGAACAACGCGGGGCTCCTGGCGCGGACACACGACATGAACCGGCCGGAGAGGCGGCGCCAGGAGAGGAACGACGACCCGCCCGCCCCAGCCGCGCCGCCCGCCCAGCCCGCGCCGCCCAAACAGACAGACAGACACGCAGCCTCCAGCCCCCGCCTGCCTCCGCCGCCGCCCTACCCGGAGATAAGCCTCCTGCCTGTCACCACGGCGCAGGACGCGTCGCAGACACAACAGAACTCACTGCTACACGGAATACTCACCAAGGTGACTCTCTACACCATTTAGTATAGTCCATAGTCCATTGTAAGAAACATGCTGTACGAAAACGACCTCATGTGGGGATGGAAGTTAGAAGCGCCTATAACACGCCGTAGTAGGGCCGTCACTGTCACGCCACGCCACGTCCATCCCCATTAGCTCAGCATATTGTAACCAGCTTGAATGGGTGTTGCCAACCTTCCAGCAGGCGTCCCCCGCGTCTCAGTGTTACTCCCCGACGTTGGCTAAACTGCTGACGTCGCCGGAAAGGAAACAGAGCGCACCGCCGTTGCCAACGTTCGGTCAGGCCAAGGTACCACCTCAATGTACGAGTCACACCATCGGTGTCCTGATTGGCCTCAGAACGTTCCAAATTCAAAATTTAGTTTTAAGTCTTTGTCCAACTTTGTCCAACATCCAACACTAACCGATGGCAATGCTCATTATATTAGAGCCATTTCATGATCATGAGCCTTACACCCGCTATATATATATGTTCGTTCATGTTCAACTATATATAGTTTATGTCCGCTATGCGTTCTGCTGCATATTTTAATATGATTTTCTTAATAATATTTTTGAACTAAAAGAAATTGTAAATTTAAAAAATCATATATGCCGGTTGGTCTGATAATTTTGAATATGTACTTCCTTACAATATTTTCATACTATCTTATGATTGATGAATGTGTGTAATGTATTATCCGTGCATGTTATAATATTAATATATTCTGTACGTGTTTAGAACTGCGGAGAAATCACCATCACGCCGGTGCAGCCCGCGACTACTGACAACGACAAGACCGAAGTGGTGCAACTAGTGAGTGATGACACATACTACATGCTTTGATACTAGAAATGAACAGTTTGCTTGAACTAGTAATGATATAAAAGAATATATGTATATAGTAAAAATGTTTATTTAAGTACATATTTAGTAATGTGAGGAAATTGTGACTACTTTTTCATCATCGACTTGGTATCAATATAACACAATTACATTGATTATTGTCAAGGTCACTATAATATGACGTGACTGCATTACTACAATACATATTCCAACAATTGTCTCAGTCCCACACTAGGCGGGTCCTAGGTCCACTCCCATTGGACGATATTGTTATATAAGACCTGACTAATTATTTCAGGAGGAGGAGGAAAGTGGTGCTTCTGAGGAGTCTGCGGGGTCAGCGTCCGCTGGCTCGGGCTCCGGCTCGGGCTCCGGCCGGCTGGTCATTGATGAAGGCACCGACGACGCTCCCACCTGCCAGGGATGTCGCTCACGACTTGCGCAGTTCGTTTGTGCAGGTTGCGCAAACCAGTGGTACTGCTCTAGGGACTGTCAGGTATATAACATATATTATACAGGAAATTCTTCCGATGACAGTAGGCCAGTCCATCTAATAGTTGACGCATGATGGATGCGTTATGTGACTTGGTGAAGTCAACCATCTTGGACTCAGTTTTCCGAAAACTGAATGCGGGACGTAAACTTTCGTGAATGGCGGGGGGGGGGGGTGTTAGGGATTGGGAATGTCATAAAAATCTTCGCAACTGCCCACATAAAATTCAAGTACTCTCTTACGCGTCATGAGTTCAGAAGAAAGAAAGAAAACGAGATTATCGCGGGCGCGATATGCTTGTCCCTATTAGGTAATCTGTGTTCCTGCACTGTTTATCGTGGTATGGGTGTTGTGTAGAAGTGTGGTAGAAAAATAGGGATGCGGGACATGCGGGACGCATACAACGTTTTGCGGGACTATTTTACGAATAATTTCAAAGCGGGATTTCGTCTAGCATTGCGGGACGGTTGGCCGCCTTACTCCAAGAGACCCATGAGGTCGTGGTCCATGTATTCAAAGACCAGATAGAATGACCCTTTATCCTTAAAAGAAATAAAATGAAAATATTATGATTATTTCATAAGAATTTTTCTATATCGTCGGGGATAGTGCAATCCGCGATAGTGCAAACCATTGGATAATTCCGCATTAAATTGGAAGCAGATTGTCAGAAGAAAGTTTGAGCTGAAATATTTTCTAAATTAACGAGTTTTAAGGGGTTTTTTTTCGCAATTAGTAATTAATTAAACACTAAATAATGATGTAAAATCCAATGGTCGTTACGCTGCTTTGCACTATCCCCGACGATAGATTGATATTATATATAATGTGAAGCTAATGCTTAGTTGTAGTCTTTATCAACTAATTTAGGGATGTTTAAGAAAAGAGGCGTAGGGTTGTGCAAAAACTAAATATATACATATATAGAGATATATAATTATTAATTTGCGAAATGGTTTCACAGAGTACAAATTGACTCATTTATAAACCATTCTTATATTAGTATAATGTGTTTTATAGTAAATTGTTTAGTCATAGTAAGGTTGATAGCTATTGTTTTTTATATAGAAATGATAACGGTTCCTTGAATAGAATATTAGATTTAACAACAACTACTTTAAATTTTACATCTTATTGTCTATTAGATACATATATATATATATATATATATATACACATATACATATAATTATTCTTCTATATATGTTATTGTTTCAGGTGGCAGCGTGGGACGACCACTCTGAGATGTGTTCGGGGTGATCTCTGTAACTCTGTTGTATTTTCCTATGAATGTCTGGATCTCGGATGCTTATTTTGGATGCGGTATTATTTTCTGTAAAAAATTGTGTACTGATTTTGTGTGTATGAAAAGTTGATTGTTTATAGGAGATATTATCTAAGAGTGTGATTTTTGAACCTCCAAGTCGCAGAGGTATTTCAAATGATGTACTGCACCCGTTAATTTAAGCATGTTTTTTCCTAAGCGAATGAATTTAATGCGTTTAGAGCTCAATAAGTATCAGTGTTGACAATATAAGAACAAGTTTTCTTTTTCTTTTGAGTGGTTCCAATCAAAAAAGTATACTTTTTACAGTATTTTCTACAGTTTTCATTAATTTTTTATTTAATGTCATAATAATTAATTTAATTATATTATATTTGTCTCGTATGTATAAATATTTTGGTGATATATTCCTACTTTGGGTTTAGGCCATTCCTTATAATAGATTTAAGTATTTATGTAATATATGAGCGTTCTCAATATGTATCTGTATGTATGAAGTTAATATTTGTTGCTGTGTTGTAAAGTATGCTTTATGACAAATCTCAATGTTATATAAAAATATATAAAGAAAGACACCGGTCGGCTCGTTTATATAGTTAGTGGTACAATCAGGCGTTTCCTTAACTGCCTCTGTATGTAGATTTAGTAATTAAACTTAAAAGTGGCCTAATATAATTGAAATGTATAACAGTTATAATTTAATATAATTTTCACCAACAATTGTAACTGATCTATTTTTTTTTTTATAAGAAAACAATATTCAGATATTTCTTTGTCAACCTGACATTCCTCTGGTTTGTCAATGAAACTTAAGTCAATGTTCAAAACGCCTTGGAACTAAGTGGGTAGCCCTAAGTTATGTATTATTTGACTTACCAAATATTTTGTGCCTTTTATATATGTAAGTATGTTTTAATGTACCGATCTATTCAGAACCGTTGGTGGCCGGTCTGGCTTGTAATGTGTTTGATATTAAATATACGGTGGGAAGAAACACTCTGTAGTATGTAAGTTTCGAGTTCGGTAGCTCTATGTTATAATGACGGTATATTTTTTTATAATCAGCAACATTGAATCAATATGGCGAGATATGTTTTATAATTTTATACACACAGTTAATAAATATTGAATTATATTATCAAGAATGGTCCTCAGAGAGCAAGAATGTGGATAATCTCAATTCTCATGTAATGAAGGATTTATGACATATATATATTATAACTGGGTTTCTTAACTTTATGTAATATGTTTTCTAAGTTACACAGGGTTATATGCTGATTTTTGTTTATTCTCATATAATTTCAATCATTATTTCCTTTATATTTGTGCGTACTTGAAGTGAATGCAGTTTTCTTTTTGTTTGTTTCAAGATGAAACTTAATTTCTATAAGCATATATGTAGCAGCACAAATATGAAAGTCTATAGTATTATAAATATCGCTGACCGTTATAAAGTAAGCCGTGCCAAAATGTAACTTTAATTTTTACAATGAACAAAATTTCCTCCAAATTGTGAAAGTCTTCGTATCAAATGAAGTGTTGATGGTAATATTTTTGTATGGTTCCTAAGTGCTATGGACGTCACAGATGTAATAGGTATGGTATTTATTGAAGTCGTGTAAAAATAATAATATAGTTAGTGTAAGGACGAGCGGAGCCAGGTGTGACGTTTATAGCGCGCTGAGAACACGTTTCTACAAATTGTTTTTTTTTCTCTGAACGCTAGTCAAGTGTTTCGTTACCTACATACTGTTTTATGTATTTTGTAACTTATATGATGTTATATAAGAATATATTAAATCAGTACTGTCTTTGACATGACTTTTATTGAAGAAAAAACACCTCGAGGAATAAATAGTGTTTAAAAAAATATTGAAAAACATTTATTTAATAAAATCGCTTATACACAATATAACATTTACATATACAATAAAGGTTCTTATCAACAGTTTGGAAATATAATCTCTTAAATTATAAACAAACATATATTATTATTAACACAAACTTAATTATATTTAGTACAAAAGCACTTAGTCAAATAACGAAATATTTATGCGTATTTTAAAGAAGGCACTAGTTATTGACTAGTAGTCGGCTTTAACGATTAAAAAAGACTAGGAATTTTACATCGATATTAAGAAAAACCGGCAAAATAATAAAAAATACATCCCTAGTATAAAAGTATATAAATGATTAGAATATCTAAAATTGTTAGCGGATGTTGACACAAACATGTTTATCGGTGGGCAGAAGAAATAAAGCCTTCAACAAATATTAAAATTATATTAGCTGATAAATTATAATATAAAAAACAATAACTATTTTATTAAATAATTCTGTTTTTAGAAACAGCAACACTAAATAATGTAAACAAGTTGACAGCTGTGATGTGGGATCCATCGGATATATGTAATGTATTATGTAAATATATTAGCACCTCCTTATGTACATTGTAAACAAGTATATAATATAAAAATATTGAGCAGTTTCATATGTCGACGCTACACTAGCGAGTCCTCGTACATAACTTAAAACGTATGTATAACAAATTCCTTTATAAACTTAACTATTACATATAATTTCTTTTATATAATTTTACATGTTTTGTAAACCGTTATATTATCAACATTATAAAACTATAAAAAATAATGAGTTTTTAAAACATAAAACATTTTAAACTAACAGTATATTATGTACGGATTGTACTTTTTAAATAATTTTCTTCCTAAACTAGTGACTTTTTTTTCAATATAGCATTTCTAATTATATGTTTGAGTAATTTCGAACTCGATGAAAGTTAAATTTATTGAACACATTCAACAACCGTAGAACCTCTCAAAACCGGCCTTATATACATTTTTTTAACAAATTTTAATTATTAATAATTATAGTAAATACATGACATTGCAATCAAAAAAAAATATTAAAAGGGTTAAAAAGTTAATAATATTCTTAGTTTTTGAATATGTGACTTTTTGAAATTGTCAAATGACAAGATCTGTTAGACTAGTCAGAAAGTAAGTTCTCAAACGTTCAATGTCTAAACTTGACGTAATTTTTTGCCAATTAATTTTAAATTTAACGACAATGGTTCCAAGTGTTCTTACTTAAAGACTCTTTCACATCAATAAAGCCTGATTCAAACTAATTTATAAAGCCGGCTTTAAACCATTAATTTATAACACCGGTCTCCTTTGTTAAGCTTTAATCCCGGTCAACTCCATCAATTATAAAGCCGGTTTCACACCTCTATTAAGCCGGTGTCACACTAGTATATAAAGCGAGTGTCGCACCTGTTTTTATACGGGTGTGTGTGTTCACTTGATGATGAAGATGACGTCACTGTCTCTCTCGAGCTGCTCCTCTATCTGCGAGGCTGCGAGCCCTTGAGAGCAGCACAGCTCGTCGAGGCAGACCACTCCGTTGTATGTACGGGCCGTGTAACTGTGCTCACTACGGGCGGACGAACTATCGCTGTGGAGAGTCACCGGGTACTGGAATGAGGGAAAGGGAGGGAGAATTGAGATTATATAGTATATACCATTAATGGGCCAGTTTAAAAAAAAAGAGGGTTGATATCAGGCAGGCGGTATCGTGAAAAACAATTAGCCAAAACTATTCACAACATGTAAGGCAGACGATGGCTATAGCCGGGAAATTGCCAGGTAGAAGAAGTACTATAGATAGAGAACTGTGTGTTAATCTGATCTTATTTACCAATATTTTATTTCGCTCATATTACTCACCTTATAGACCCTCCGTATGAGCCCCTCCAGTACACCAAACAGCACAAGTTTCCTCTCGTTGATAGCGAGTTCCTGCGGCCGTAGTCGCCGACACAGGTCCCTCACTGTACTCCCGTACGACATGCCCGCGTACATACGGAACAGATCCGATACTTTTGGAAGCTGACGAGCTGATAATTAAAATAAAATAACTCTATATATATTCTATAGATATAAATTTATAAAAAATATAAGAATTACAAATGAATTGAACATTCCATCGGAGTGACGAAATCATTATCATAAAAAGTAACCACTAGCAATAACTATCATTATATAATTATTTATATAAAAAACAAAATAAAAATGATTCTTAATGCTCACGTGATCTAGCACAGAACTCCACACACTGTCTCTGTAGCCCCGCGCAACGAGTCAGTTGTCTCAACTTGGGCGTTGCACTGTACACCTGGTGTATTAATACAAAAACCGTCTCAGAACAATGTTGTGTGTGAAATTATTAGAAAATACGGAAATATAAATATAGAGAAGAATGTGAACGTGTTCTAAAACTATAATTACAATTAAAAGACGCTATTAATAGTAAACTAAATGGTTTATAAATCAAAGTCACGTTTTTGTTATTTTTTGTAAACATCAAGTATTATTTATCTTTACATAAATGAGAATCAATTCTTTGAAAATTTTGTTTTAAAGAAATCGAGAAATTGATACGACTTATCATTTTAAAACATACGTAGAATACTTCAATATAATAAAGACATTTTATATTGTGATATAAATAAAATATACATATATGTATATAGAAATACATATGTATATACTACAAATATGTCAGAATAATATGCTACAGATTCAAGACTATACATATACAGTGTAAACTCTATATAACGACACTGAAGGGACCGTGCATTTTAGTGCGTTATAGAGAGTTGCCGTTAAATAGAAAGAAGAAAAATCAGATTTAGAAAAAGACAAAGTTTATTTCAGACTAGTGTTAGTACTTATGTACATAAAAAAGAATGTTATAGTTTGAGATTTTGTGAGCAACTTTTTATGGTAACGTATAGGTAATACAAGACTCCTACTTATGGTCAAAAACCGTCGACACGTGTAATCAATTTGTAATTGTAAACAAAAGAACGAATTTCTTAGAAAGTTCGGTGTGGATGATAGGGACAGTCGAGTTTATTGCGGGCTAGGATAACAAAGCGACAAAGGAACGTACACAGCTGCACAGTTTTTACTAATTTTAGCAACTTAAAAGATACTTTTTATTACTTAATTGTTGTCGTTATTGAGAGTGGGTGTGCCGCTATGTAGAGTGTATCATTGTATGGTAGATAAACGAAACCAACCAAAGTCAAATGATTTCGACGCTTTAGAGAGTTTATCGTTAAATCGAGTGTCGTTATATAGAGTTTACACTGTATACTCACAGCACAGTATTGAAAGATGGGCACGAGCGTGACCACTCCGTAGTACACCAGGTTCTGTACACAGGCTCGTACTAAACTGATCTCCACGTCCGTTAGGGCTGCGATCTTTGACACGTGGTTGAAACCATCGATATGAGGCAGGATCTGATACAAATAAAGAAAACAATAGTATACAAAGAAAATAATATGTATGGATTATCATGGTTTATTTGACATCTCATCTGCTAGCGGTCACGGTTGCTGCAAAATCGGGAGTACGCAGTTTAAAATGAAACGAAACCTCTTAGCATACAATGGATTCACCGTGCGGAGAGGAGCTTCAACAGTGTCTGGGACTTGCGACCCAGGTGTAGGTTTAAGAGTACCTATCTAACGCGTTAAACGATCACCTACATCCAAGCTCCTCTCCCTACCTAACCAAGTTTGAAAAGAACCAAATAATATAATCGTAGTAATCCGAAAAATTTTAGTTTCATTTAAATGAATACTTGCGAAACTCTTAGATTTCAATAGTATAAAATATTAATAATAAATACAAATGAGAAATAGTCTACAGTAAATGCAATTGTGCTAGTGATCAAATTATGGAAAAGCTTGTATCATAAACATTATATATTTTTCAATATAATGAACCAAAATAATATATTAACGAGGATTATAATGATCAGCACCAAGCTATGTTTAGCAATTAGCGCTGTTGAGTAAAACATTTGGTATTTTTAAACTAATCTTCGTTAGTAAACGAAATATGAATGAAAACATCGTTCAAAATTAATATTATGTACCAAAACGTATCAGAAATAAATATAATTACGAATAGGAAATAAAAGGAGAGCCGAATTTATACAATATTTAATCTATTATTCATTATCCGAGAGTTCATAATCGTTTGTCGTAAACCAAGCAACGTTTTTAAGCAACTATTACTCCACAGTAACCAGCATCACGGTCGACATGCGTGTTGTGAAGTAATTCATGAGATCGCTCAACAAATATAAACTGATGGCGTTTGAATAATAAATTTAGACGACGCTAAATATACGGAACGACGGACACGACAAACATTGTATGGGGAATATTTAATATTATACATGTTGTGAATAGTTTTGGCTAATTGTTTTTACGACCGGCCGCCTGTCTGACATCAACCCTCTTTGGGAATGCATTAATCAGTGATGTTTGAATACTCTTAGAAAATACTCGGAAAAATCACATTGGTACTTGCCAGGTTCGAACCCGGGCCCTCTTGCATGAGAGGCGGGCCTTTTAACCACTAGGCCACCACTGACTAATATTATATATTAAATATTATGTAACTTCTACAATACTTATTCGAACTTGTAGGTTTAAGTGAATATACCCTAAATTGTATTGGTGTAAACAAATCTACTTTATGGACTGTTTGTTGAGCCTACCTAAGAATTTAATATTCTTTATCGTAAGCAAATCATCCATCTGTCTTTGTCCAAAAAAGACATTACTTTCACGCCTTTATTTAGACATGAACACTTATACTTAGTAAACGAGGATGATTTATTATGTAAAAGCAAGATATATTTGATGTAAATATTTCTTCTGAAGATAAAACAAAGAGTAATATTAAAATTATGTAGAAATTATTTGATCACAAGATTATTTTGTTAAAATCAAATATATGTTTCTTAACTTGTATTATTTGAAATAAAAAGTATACGTAAGATCTAAATATGAAGATTAATTTATAAAATAAATTAAACATCCATATTTGTATAGATACACCCACTATGTAGAACAAACATAATATGAAAACCCACACAGAATCTGGAACATTTGATAAATATCAGAGAACACGAGATGTATCTTTAATTACTATAGAATATAATAATTATATTTTCTATAAAGAAATATTTGTTAAAGAAAATTTGTCTTTAAATATGTTAGAATAGAATCCAGTTTTGATATCAATTTTACTCAGAACAGTTTTTACATAATAAAATATGAAGTCTATTTATTATTTCTGAAGATTTCTTATAATTTATTTACGTTTTGTTCTCTGAATCACTTTATATTTCCTTTGTAGATCAGATTTTATTTTCTTATGATCAGAGGCAAACCGTATCTTGGATACGTCGCCTCCTAGCTACGAGAATCAGCAATCTTGTGAAAGAATTTCTATATGGAATATTTTCGGGGAAATAATAAAATAATGACGTAATTTGTCTTTATTTTCATTGGTTAAGGATTCATTAATTAGATATGGATTTCGTAAGAACTAAAGACATGTAGAGCCTTTGTAACTCAAGGCTAATCACGAGGAAAACAAATTTTATTTAACTGACTTAATAAAAAAATATCAGTGAGCTTCGCAGTTAACTCAAAAAGTACTAAATATATTATTATCTGAAATTCTAATTGGATCCGCTCTTCACACAAATAAAGAGATGAGAGGAAAAGCATAATTACCTGCTCCTAGGTGTGACCTATATATTTTTATTAGCAATTTGAAAACACTTTCTTTTTTTTCGTTCTTTAACTAGGGCCGTAGATTGAGGCGACGCTCAAGCAAGCATCAAGGGCTGTCTTCAATTTTTATTTCAGATCTTATATTGTCAAGCCGCTCTTAATCACTATTCTAAAATGTTAATTTGTTGAAACTGTATATAAAATATGCTACCTGTTTTGATAGAAAAAACAATCTATTTTAGTAATGAGGCTACAATCACAGAATCGTCGTTCATTTAAATAACGCATCATTAGTATTCTTTGTATAAAAAAACAATGGTTTGATGGTCGACGAGGTACGAATTTTAAAAGCAAACTAATAAATATTCTGATATTAATTGTATGAATATATGATCAATGTGTCATCGTTTAAATATAGATAGGCTTTTAAAGAATATTTTTTTGTATTATTGATCAATAAATGGCTTTTCGCAGAAGCATGTTTTTTTTTAATAAACATAATTAATATGACATAATGATACCTTATATTTTTGAGAGTAAACATTTTAATGTATCTATATTTCAATAAAACGAATGTTATTCCAATTACTATATACGCGTATTTTATTATTTTAAAACTACACATTCCCGACGTTTCGGTTATTTTTCAGCAACCGTGATAATGGGCAGACGAGATGGGAATGGTTTAAAAAACCTTCAAAAATCTTAGATCTCATTTTCCATATATTTTTGGATTATGCTCGTAATGTATCCCAAAAAGCAAAGTTACATTTTCAACAAACATAATGTTATCAAAGTCTTACCTCAATATGTAAATAAATATAATGAGCGGAAAATTAAAGATGTAGTAACAAGAATATTAGATAAAATAAGATTATGGCTACTTGATTGACTTAAAATGAAAAAACAACTTGCCAATAAATTATACGAATATACAGGGTGACTGGTGAATTACTATCGATATTTGAGGACGTGATATTTGACGATCATATATGACAAAATAAAAATTAATATAACATAAATATTAATAAACTTCTAAGTAAAGTTAACCAAAAGTTATGTAATTAATTACGCATCGTATGAACACCCTACAGATTAGGTATACACACACACTCACACATACGCGTGTTGCGGCGTGGTGTTGTATCAGCACGTCGCCGCACGCGTCCACGCTTGGAACACTTGGAACGAGTCAACACTTTATTTATTTATACGGAAATTTTGTCAAAAATTAAGTGCCTATTTTTTACATAATTCGAATGAGAATCATGTACCGAGTACTCTCCTTAAATATTGATAGTAATTCACCAGTCACCCTGTATATGTAATTATGTAAATTTCTTTCCGCTAGATACATTTAAAATAGAACCTTTGTTTCACATCACTTTAATCAATTTAATAAAAATCCTAAATAAAGTGTTAGCTATAGAAAAATTCTTGTCAATCTTTCTTCGTTGATGACTGTGAGATGCACCGTCCCTGACCTTGTACTACACGTGTTTACAAATACGCGATAACAACAAGCGTTACATGATAGTTCTGATGAAGTAACATTGAATAATCAGTAATAACTAATAATTCAGATTTAATTTTAGACACATTTATATTTATATAAATCAATTTTACTGTGGCTAAACTGACAGACGGTAAGGAAAACATCGTGAGGAAACCTGGACTTATAATTTCACAATTATAAGTTTGAAATCACCAACCTATCTTGAGCAAGCGTGGTGATTAATGCTTAAACCTTCTACATATGAGAAGAGGCCTTCCAGCAGTGGGCTCTGATAGGCTGATGATGAGATCTATTTAAAAAAAATCATCATGTTTTGGAATTCAAGGCTATTAAATTATAAGAATAGTAATCTATAATTAGTATTACTATAATAAACGTGTATAATAGGCGAGTGTTTATTTCAATAAGTAGTTATTAGCATTAAAACAATGACCACTATGTGTTTGGACTGACGCCAGTTACACGTGGACGTACATAACTCTCTATATGTATGCGACATATCCTAAGTGATTTATGTCAGAATTAAGTGATATGTCATGGGTATAATCATGATACATAAAATTATGGAACCAGAATGTGTTATATAAAACATATAAGTATTTTTATATTTCGTGTACTTCACTCAAAACATTCAAGTATTTCAAGTAAATTAAACATGAAACAAAAGTACGATTTGTAATAAATTTAATTAAAGATCAAGGCTAGCTTTTGTTATTTGTTCTGTCAATAACACTTTTATGACTTTGTTTATTTTTACAAACATACATATATGTTGATATTTATATGTATATAGTATTTATAAACACGTTTATTACTTTAGTATACAGCGATAATTTCATCCAATTGAGCTCCTTTCGATATCTTTAATTATAGAATTTTCAGCCTACTTATTATTAAAATTAACGTTATTGTCTCTGTATAGAACATTTTGTCGATATAAAACATATTTACTATAGCCGTAGTCTATGTTTAGGATTATGTTTATAAATCAAACTAAAATGGGAAGCCTGGCATTTAAAACAGTGACAATAAAGATAGGAGGAGGGAAGAGAATTATGAAGGTCAAAGTGGCGCCAGAGATCGTAGGACGCTACTGGCGCCATCTGGACACGACCACTTAATTGTATTTTTATAAGTATGTATAGGAAAAATAGGGTCTGAACGAACGCTTTAGTTAAAATTTATT